AATATGTATGAACTTATTGTGAAACTGTATGCATATGCATTTGGAAGGGGGATAAAAGGAGGTCTGAAATCTTCAGGGGTACGCATGCCCTTTTGGGGAGTCTTGCGTCCGGTGCGCGTCGTAATAAAGCATACCGGGCTTTACAACTTTTACAAGTTGTGAGGTTCCTTCTTTTCTCTGCAAAACACAGGGAGCAGGGGGACAGCGTAGCACCACTCCAAAAGCCACTTGGTCCTGCCAGGCCTCACCTTCACCTGCCCTGCACGCCAGGGTCCGACTTACTCACAGCCAGCAGGAGCTGCAGTTCCTGACTCAAGATCCACCATCGCGGGTGAGGACGGAGCCATCCCCACCATCAGCGGTTGTCACAACCCCACTGGTCACTCCATCAGCTCCTCTATTGAGAGCCAGGGAGCCTGCAGAGATGTCCCAGCCACGCCCATCATCAGCCCCTGCCCGCAGGTGTTTGGTCCAGCCAACGTCACACCCCCTGCCAGCTTCCCCCTCCTGTTCCTCTAAAGCTGTCTCAAATTCAGTACGCGCTGCCAGGCATAATGTGATTGACTGGGAGGTGGCCCGAGATTTGCTACGTGATGTTGAAGAGTATGGCCTTGGCTCTGCACAAGTTTTGCAGACTCTCAGAGTGCTAAAATCAGGCCTGCTTTTTCCATCTGATATTAGAAAAATAGCTCAGGTACTGTTCGAGCCTGTGCTGTTTGGTATTTTTTTGAAGTACTGGAGGGAGGCTGCTGAAAAGGCTGCAGCAGGCAACAGGTATTTGCCTCAGCAAGATCCTAGGTTTCAGGTGGGGGTGGACGTTCTCCTCGGAGAACAGGTCTCTTCCAGTCCTAATTTTGAGGCTACCTGGGACTCTGCTGTTCTTGAGCAGAGTCAAAGGGCAGGATTTCATGCATTGTTAAGAACTATTGAATTGGCCTCCCCCGGGCCAGCATTTGCAGCAATAACTCAGGGAGAAGATGAACAATTTCTGCCATTTGTCCAGAAGCTTGCTGACGCCCTTGAGAAGCAGATTGAGGATGATGCCCTAAGGGAGACGTTATGCAAGCAGTTAGCCCAGTGCAATGCAAACAGTCAGTGCAAGAGGATCATAGCTACTCTTCCAGGCATCCCATCACTAGTAGATATGGTCAATGCATGTGCCTGGGTAGGGTCTGTAGGCCGCACAGTGCCTGCTCTGATGGCTCCCTTACAGCCAGGCCACATACCCTTAGCGGGTGGACAACAGAAGAGCAAAAATAAGGGCAAGGGAGGACATGGAACATGCAATCCATCATGGCCGGGTGCCTCCTTCTTGTGCGCTAGATGCCTAAGGCCAGGTCATTTTGCTGAGCAATGCAAGGCTAAATTTCATGCCAATGGCCAGCCTTTGGCGGACCCAAGAACGGGACAGTGAGCACAAGGGAATTGTGCCCTGACACAGGTGATTCCTCAGGGCATGGTGCTGGCTCAGACCTGCCCAGCCAGCTCGGAGGCATCACCCAGGGCTCCGCTGGTGTGGATGCACATACCACCAACACAGTTTTCTTAGAATCCTGTAGTGAATATAATTTTTTTTGGATGTGTTCAGACCTTTTTGACAAGGACTGGGTGCACTGCTTGTGAGAAGATCTAGTGTCACCCACTAAGGAATCTTTGTGCACCCAGGAGTCATTGACTCTGACTTTCTAGGCCAAATTTGTGCTGCGGTTTTCATGCACACCCCCCGTCACTATTCCAGCAGGGACTCAGATTGCTCAACTTGTGCCTTTTCAGTCATGTGTCCCCAGGACTGGCCAGCAGACTCATGGGAATGGTGGCTTCGAATCCACGGGACTGCCACAAGTCTTCTGCTCTGCAGATGTTTCTGCTCAGCCACCACAGATGACATGTACCCTGATTCTGCTGGGTGCCTGGCCGCATCAGATCCATCTCCAAGGTTTTCTCAACACCGGGGTGGATGTGACACTCGTCTCCCTCTTTGTATGGCCTCTTATGTGGCCTTTGGCTCCCATAGGTTTGGCCACTGAAGGGCTGGGGGATGTGGCACATGCCCTGGTGAGCCAACACTCCGTGCTGGTCAGTAATGTGAATGGGCAGACAGCCACAGTTCAGCCCTGTGTCACTGCAGCTCCAGTCAGTCTTTGGGAGCAGGATGTACTAGCAGCCAGAAGTGGGATGGATTTTTAACTGGGGACACTGCATTGAAGGGCAGAAGATATCCTACACTGCCTTTACAGTGGCTGGTGGACAAACCCATTTGGGTTCATCAGTGACACCAGACAAAAGAAAAATGGTTGCCCTTTGTGAACTGGTTCAGGAGCAACTGCAACAAGGACACATTTGAGACAGAGTAAGGACCCATCCTGAACTAGGTGAAGTGTCTGGGAGAGGTGAAGGGTCTGTGGAGCTAAAGCTGAAGGAGAGGCCGCGTTCCAGAGACAGCAAGGAGTCAGAGAAAGAAAAACAGAAAAACCACGAGGTCAATCTGCCCCCGACCTAGGAATTCCTCCGATAAAGAAGAATTAGTGCTAAGTGTCATGCAAGATGAATATGTATGAACTTATTGTGAAACTGTATGCATATGCATTTGGAAGGGGGATAAAAGGAGGTCTGAAATCTTCAGGGGTACGCGTGCCCTTTTGGGGAGTCTTGCGTCTGGTGCGCGTCGTAATAAAGCATACCGGGCTTTACAACTTTTACAAGTTGTGAGGTTGCTTCTTTTCTCCGCAAAACACATTGAGCCTTCTACTAGTCACTGGAATACTCCTGTCTTTGTGATAAAGAAAAAATCTGGGAAATGGAGGCTGGAACAGGACCTCTGAAAAATTAATGCAGTGACAGAAAGCATGGGGGCACTGCATCCTGGTATGCCCACACCCACCATGCTCCCTGCTGGATGGGACATCTTGATCATTGATTTGAAGAAAATTTTTTTCACAATTCCTTTGCGTCCTGATGACAAACCAAAGTTTGCCTTCACAGTGCCTTCAGTCAGCAATGCTGAACCTGTGCAGAGATATCAATGTGTTTTGCGGAGATAGCCAAAAACTCCACAACTCTGCGAAAGTTGTAGAGCCAGTATGTTTATTATTACAGTGCCGGACGCATGTGGAGATTACTCTCCTTAAAAGGCATGCGTACCTCTGGGAACTTCAGGTCTCTTTTTATCCCCCTCTCAAATACATATGCATACAGTTTCACAATAGGTTTATACATATTCATTTTTATGAATTTCCCATGATATTTGCCACCAGTTCTTCTATATCAGAAAGGATTCCTAGGTCAGGCTGACCTGCTTTCACAGCAGTCTCTGTCTCTCTTTATCATCCTCTGTCTCCCCCCACTTATCTCTGTCCTTCACTGAATCCCTGAGCCTAGGCCTTGCAGGCAGGCTACAGACAACAGGCTTCAAACTACAGACTGAACTCAAAGATGTACATTTCACCTAAATCAAAATGGATTTCTACTCTAGAGAATTTCTACTCTGTGTCAAATGGAAGGTTTTGCCACAGGTTTTGCTGTCACAATAGCCTGACTATCTGTCAGCGGTATGTGGCTCAGGCCTTGTCTGGAGTCCACAAGCAGTTTCCTCACGCATTTGTTATCATTCCATGGACAGCATCCTGGTGGCAGCATCCCCCAGGATGAGTTGCTGAGGGTACAGCCTCAGCTGTTCGCTGCTCTGCGTTCTTGTGGGCTGCAGGTGGCCCCGGAGAAGGTTCAGCAGCACCCTCCTTTGAAATACCTGGGAGTCAAAATTCTTGACAGAACTATTCAGCACCAGGAGGTGCAATTCTCGGATTCTGTTAAGATCTTGAATGATGCCCAGAAATTGACGGGTGTCATCAGCTGGTTGTGTCCTTACTTGGGACTAACTGACAAAGAACTGTCCCCGTTGTATGACACCTGGGGCCATGGGTATGCAAGTGTTTCCACAGATACTGGAGTTTGATGGGTACCTGTGAGGCATGTCTGCCCTGATTGTGACACCAAAGACAGAATGTGGCCAACAGGCAACCTCAGAGTGATGATCAAGATGTCAACCATCAATCAGATGGCCCCTCCACGAGTGGGGAGTGAACATTCCATCCTTTCGTTGTTTCTGAAAAGGACTGTTGACAGGCTAAGACTGTCAGTTCTTTCAACAAATTAATGATAAGTTGTTACTATATTATTAGACTTAGTATTGATATTGTATTAGAATAAGTAACTGATTTTAGGATTAATAGTTTATTTCTAGTAGGAGGGAATCACAAGGTCCAATCTCTCTGACCATTTTAAATCAGCATCCAATTGAGGTTCTGATTGATAACTAGCAACTGCTACAGGAACCTCTGCAGCTCTGTTTGTTCTCCTTTCTGCAAAGGACCCTGCAGAGGATTTAAACAAAAAGGGGGACCTGTGGATGTCACAGGCTGGTCAGAGAGCGAGAAAACTAGATGATAAGTTTTCCCAGAATTGGCTTGTGAGACTTTGGGGTGTAGAAGATAAATAATGATAGCTTATCATAACCTGCAGGTGGTGTTTTCTGACTCTCTGTTTTCTTGTTTTTTTCAAAGATTGTTTATTAGAAAAGTGTCTTATAAATTATCCAATCAGGTGGAATGTACTGATTAATTGACCAGCCAGGTCTATCTATATTGGAGCAATGTATAAAACAGGATCTGAAGTAAAGACACATCCTTCATGCAAACCAACCCTCTGGTGAGTCTGTGTCATTTCTTACTCAATGATGACAATTTTATACTTTCAACCTGGCACCAAGACTCAAAACCACTTTTTATATTCACTTATATAACTTCAGGCATATATTTAATAGACAGTAGCAAATTAACCATCACTTGTAATTTTTTTCATTATACAATTTTGTCATTGATGCCGAAAGATTTTTGCTTTTTATATGTTTTTCATATATTTGTAGCTCTGTAGACTATTACTGTATAGTTATATAGTTTCTTCAGCTAATTGCAGTATTTTGTTAGATAAACACATTCCTGGAATCCTATGCTAATCTTGCTTCTTCAGTGAACAAAAGCCATTTTACTTTCCCATGTATTTAGATATAAACAATGTGGAGCTAGAAGGAAATGGGAGGCTTCAGTAGGGGGCCAAACCAAGAGGGGGAATTACTTCAGTAACTGTACTTCTAACAGGGGATTCTTGTCAGTTATGCCAATTTGCGAAACTTACAAATAATATCAAAAAATTCCCAATAATTCTTTTATAGAGGTTTCAAAATTCCTGTGCTTACACATCTGATTGGCCAAGGTCTTAACACCACCCAGCTCACTGCAGACTTAGCAGTCTGTATTGAGGCTTGAATGAGATTGGTTGGGGTCCCTGTTTGAGTTCAAATCCAGCCTATGATTGTCTTATCCTGGAGACTCATTTACTTCTACTCTGTAACAGCTAGACTGGTCAAGTTAGGGTCTGTTATGGCCGATTTATCTGTACAGCCCACAGGCCAGCTGTGGCTGTGACAGTTCCCCCTTCCTCTGTTTAAAAAGGGCAAAGTGTTCTTTGCCATCCTCTGCAGGGCCCTTTGCAGACAGTGTTATGGTGGGTCATTCATCAGAGACATACAAACAACACAACTCTCAAAGGTTCTTGTGAAAAACAACCTCAAGTTTATTCTCACAGCTCCTTTTACAGGAGCTGCAAACTTCCCAAGCTTACACATGTGATTCATTGAGTACCATCCAGCTCTCTGGCTAATGACACATCTGCATTTAGGGCTGAATGACATTGGCTGAGGGTCCCTGTGTAGATTTGAATCCAGCCTTATCCTTGTTCACCCAGGGAGTTGTTTCCTTTTAGGATGGTTGGGTTTCAGATCAGCTGCAATGTGACAAACAGGATGACAAGGCCAGCATGATGTCACTGATGATAAGCCCAGGTCAAATAAGGCTTTCCACCCAAGTGGACAAGCCCAGCCCCCCTAGGCAGGGATGCATCTCATGTATCATCCAGGAGCTGTCAAACATCCAGCAATACAATCTTTCAGGATAGCATGCTGCAGGAATTACAAATTGAAACTTAACACTACAAACAAGAAAAAATTCAACTTTAGAACTGTCAGAAAAAACAACATAATAAACAGCTTGTCTTAGTTTGGGGTTTGTGACCCATGTCCTTAAATAGATAAAATCCTTAAGTCCCTCATATCCCAAATATATCTACAAATTACAACTCAACACTACAAACAAGAAACTATTCAACTCAAAACCATCTCAATTTAAAAAAAAACCATCATTCTCCTATTGGTGTTTCTCAAATGTTTGAGTCTTGGGGTTCCAATTTTGCCATGAGCTTTCTTGCAGGGTTGAAGACGCCGCTGGTTTGCTTCCCGCAGACGTAGCAGCGCTGGGATTTGCGGTAGTGCTGCAGGGCACAGCTCTCACAGAAGTAGTGCCCACATCTGGTGACCACGGGGTTCTTGAAGGAACCTCGGCAGATGAAGCACTTGAAGGGCACCTCCTCCTCACCACTGCTCACCTCGTAGTTCTCATCGTCGCTGGTGCCGTAGCGGCGCTCGTTCAGCTCCCGTTCCAGCTGCCAGCCGTGCTTGTAGTCCGAGCGGTCGTGCAGGAACTTGCAGCTGTCCCCAAAGCCACAGAACCCGGTCTCTTTGTAGTCCTTGCAGATGTCAGGCTGGTAGTCCCAGCGCACCGTGGCCCGCAGGTGCTCCGGAGCACGGATGGGGCCTTTCCTGACCATCCCTGAGGAGGCATTTCCCATCGCTGTGTCCTTGGGCTTCAGGTACTTCTGGTAATTGTTAATACCACGGTAAATTTTATCGTCTTCCTTTCCTCTCAGCTCCTCCTGGATTCTTTGGCTGCGCTCAAAGATGGCCTGGGCATCCTTGTCCTTCTCCGTGTCCAGTTCATACCCTGCTGTGGCCCCCATGTCTTCCGGGCCAGCAGGTTTTGCTGACCTGGTCGATTTGTAGGTGACCCCGATCTCCTTGGCAGGATCCTCATCCTCGCTGTTGCTCTGTGCATACTCCGGCTTCTCCTTCATGCAGCTCCTGGTCCTCTGGATCATGGGGTTGGGGGTGTCCCTGGGCAGCTTCTTCCTCACCACGGTGCTGCCCTCCTCCCCACTGCTGTCCTGCTCACTGCTGGGATGTTTTCGCCGGCCGCCGCCCACGGCTCGGACCCGCTTCTTGAACACAAAGCTGCACACACTGCTCTCCTCTGCCATCAGCTGATGCTGGTTAGAAAATAAAGGCAGAAAAGGCTTGGACTGAGTCAGGGTATAACCTGGCACCCTGTGGGTCAGAGTGGTGGCAGCAATCCAATTAAATGGTGGCTGCAGTCCTCCTGCAGTGACAGGTGTGGTTCTGGTGGAGCAGGGATCCTGGAGAAGGGTCTGGTCTTCCTCTGAAGGTCCAGGGGTGGCTTTGTGGTTCTTCTCCTCTGGGAGTCCAGTAGGTAAAGCTGCCTGTGGTGTTCCACAGCTCACATGATATCCAGTTTGGAATGCTGGGCTCCTCCCCCTGGGCGGAGCATCTCACAATGGGATGATGGAATTTTATCAGCCATGCAGGGACACTTAATAGCCCATTAGCAGAAGATAACCCCCCAGAGGGAGTTATCAGGGATGAGTCCTGGAAGAGATAAAGAACACTGCCCCACCTGCTTTTAACAGCTAATAAAGAAGGTGATATAATACATACTTTTGATTACATCTTACATTGTAACCTGAGACAGTATAACAGTCTTCTTTGGTGAGGTTCAGCATTCTTGAATGTTAGACAATTTTACAAAACTATTTTTTCCTACTTGTTGGACTCATAAGGTTTGTGAGTTCAACTAAGGCTGCCTTGCTTTTCAGAGCCATACCCTTACAGGTCCAGGTACCACCACAACCCAACTAAATTTACATATCCCAGATTTTCACCCTTTTCCCTCCCACCAACCAGGTTTCAGGGAGATCCCAAGGAACTACACCCAAGGAAAGAGGAAAAGGTCAGTGGGGAACAACTTTCAGTAAAATTTGCCAGCAACAAACTTATAGCAGTCTGTAAAAAGAAACTTAAAAGACATCAAAAACACAGCAATCACTAATGAAACTGAAGTTACCTAGTACCCAACTACTACTAACAATGGTGATCAGCACCATGTAGGCAGCAAGCTGGAGTAGCCAGCTATCCTTTTGAGAACTTTTCTGGAACTGCAGTCCAAATATTCCCCAAATACAGGTGTGTATTTCTTTCTATTTACAGGGTTAAGCTTTTCTAGCTTGATTTCTGTTAAGGCAGTGGTATCCCATATTGTCTGGAATAGGCCACCAATGCATGTTTAAAATGCCTATTCCTCTTACATCCAAATATGAGCAACACTTGCAAAAATCCCATATTGTTATTCCTACTCAAGTAACTTCATTTTTTGATGCTTGTGCTGGTTTGAAAGTAACCAGCATCTTGGGTGATTTAATGATTATAATTTATTCCCTGATCATCTGTTTTGTGCTCAAAATGGTTGCTGTACCTTTAAGGCTCTGGTGGGGGGTGGGAGGGTGAGCCCCTCTTCCTTGGGTTTTTTCAAAGCATCACTCCCCAGGCATCTGTGGTGCTGTGCAGTCTGCATTCTTTTTTTCTTTTTTGCTTGGTTTCTGTTAGCTCAGGCAAGAAGTTTTTTCCTTTTCCCTGTCCTTGGAGAGGCTGTGATCACTTGGTAGCTTTCCTCAAAGTGAACTGTACAGTTTGGTTTTGGTCTGAGATCAGAGAGAATGACCAGTGGGAGAAGAACCGGCCAGAGAAGGCTGCTCCATCTCAGCCCCTGACCTCAGAACATCTGAGCCAGCAGCAGAAAGGACACCAAATCCACCCCCTTCAGCTGCTGTGAAGAGGAGACCAACACCAGGGACTCACCAGGTTCCCATCTGATTTTGGTCAAGCTTCTGCATGAACCCCTTGTTTTTTAGGGTTTTTTTCCTTGAGACAGGAGAAAACCCCTAAAAACCTTTTCCTACCATGTTGCCAGCTGTTTTGGGGTTTTTTCTTTCTATAGAATTTTGGGTGTTTTGTTCTGTTGGAGGGGGGGAGGACAGTTAAATATCTAGCATTTATTCACCCCTTTTTCTGTTCCATGTGGGCACTCCCTCCATTTGTCAATAGAGGGGTTTGAGTCCCCAGGAGTGAATCAATGTGCAGATTGTAGATGGTTTGGGCATTGGTAACAGGAATGTCCCCAGAGGCAGATGGGGACAGAGGGAACAGACCTACCCCTCCTCCAGGGATGAAGGGAACCAGGGACAGAATCCACAGCTGAATCCCTGGTTACCACAAAGCTGACGAAGTGGAAAATTGACTTTTTAATAGACACTGCCCACTTACTTGGTATTAAATACAAACCAGGGAAAAATAAGCCAAGAAACTGCAAATGTTGTTGGTGCAACAGGAGTAGTGGAAAAATGAACATTCTTTAACCCCATTAAATTCAGAAAACAGTGGATAATACACTGATTTCTATATATGCCTGAGTGTGTGGTTCCTCTTTTAGGAAGAGACCTGTTAAGCAAATTGGAGGCTCAGATTGTATTTAAAGATGGAGAAATACAATTATTGGTACCTGAGACTAAAGCCATCAAAGGAAGGACTTTTATGTTGCAGGGAACACCAGAACCACACAGTTCTGGAGGAATACCCAGAAGCAGGAGAAAATGCAGTAACATCCCTGGTTTGAGCCAGTGGAGCTCCAGGCTATTCCCAACAAGCTCAGCCTGTAAGTGTTTCCCTAAAAAATGGATCAAGACTGGTTGGGCAGAAATTGCATCCTTTAAAATCAGGGAAATCAAGAGCCTTAAAGAAAATATCAGGGAAAATCACTGGTGGTTTAAAGTGATAGGTTTGAAGGATGCCTTCTTTTGCATACCTCTTGATAAGCCAAGTCAGGGCATTTTTGCCTTTGAATGGGAAAACCCCCAAACTGGTCAGAAGACTCAGTTTACCTGGACTGTGTTACTGCAAGGATATAAAACAGTGCAATGATTTTTGGGAACCAGCTGGCAAAAGAATTGCAGGTCTGGAAAAAAGAGAACGCAGAAGGGTTGGTCCTGCAGTATGCTGATGATCTCTTACTAGCAACTGAACCTAATGAAACATATATGGAAGTGACTGTGAGTGCTCTAAATTTCCTAGGCCAAGGAGGTTACCAAGTGTCTCAGGAAAAAACTTAAATCATGAGGCAGCAAGGTACCTGCCTAGGATTTGAATCAGTACCAGAACAGTGGAGTTGGGAATGGACAGAGAAGAAGCCCTGTGCCACGTACTCCAACCTGGGACTGCCCAAGATTTATCAGCATCCTCAGGTGTGGCTGCATGATGCAGATTGTGGGTCTCAAATTGCAGAATTTTGGTCAAACCATCATATGAGCTTTTAAAGGAGGCCTTGGAAGGACCTTTGATTAGAACTCCTGATGGTGAACTTGCATTCTGTAACCTAAAGCTGGCCCTGATATCTGCACCTGCCTTAGGACTTCCAGACTTAACAAACCCTGGGAACTTTTTGTGCATGAAGAGCAGCCCTCACCCTTGGAGCTCTGGCTCAGAAGGTAGGAGACTTCAAGAGGCCCGTGGGGCACTTCTGGAAACAACTAAAAATAGTCAGCCATGGGTGGCCCTGGTGCCTGTCAGCCATAGCTGAGACTTTTCTCGTCCAAGAGGCCAGGAATTTGGGACAGAAGACTTTAGTGCACAGTTTGAATGCTGTATCAGGACAAAAGGGGAGCATTGGCTTTCCCTGAGTCAAATGCTGAAGCATCAGACTGTTCTACTGGAGCAAGAGGATGTGGAAATTAAAGGAACCACAGCAGTAAACCCAGTCCAATTCCTGGACACCCCAATGCAAGGAGAAGAGCCACTGACCCATGACTGCTTACAGAAAATTGAGAAGGTTTGTGCTGGTTGGCCAGACCTACAAAATGCACAAAATGGAGATCCAGCAGAGTTCTTCATGGACAGAAGTAGCCTTGTGCAAGAGGGTGAAAAGCCAGCTATGCAGAAAATTCATCAACCAAAATAATAGAAGCTGCACTGCTGCCCATGGACAGCTCAGCACAAAGGGCAGAACCCACAGCACTGCAGAGAGCCTTGGGAGTGGCAGCAGGAAAAAGAGCAAACATATGGACCAATTTGAAATATGCTTTTATTGCAATTTTATATGCCATGCCTGTGGGGTATATGGAGGGAAAGAGGCCTATTAACAGCACAAGGCCCTCCCATTAAATAAAAACAAGAAATACTGTTGCTTCTCGATGCTATCCAACTGCCCAAAGTGGCCATGCTACACTGCAGGGCACACCAGTGTGGGGATTCCCAAATTTGTGTGGGAAATAAATAGACTTGCAGGTAAAGCTGCTTGAGAGGTTGCACAACGAGGCATCCTAGCATTAAATACCTGAGAAAGCCATTTAGCCCTGAGAAAGCCATTTCACTACCAGAAGGTAGCCCTGGGTATAGTCAGGCAGATTTAAAATTAGCTGCTTACCTAAAAGCCCAGAATAAAGAGGATGTGTGACTGGTTACTCCCAATAACCAGGTCACAGTTCCATCACAACTTATGTTACAAATTGTAAAGGACAAACACCAGCAGACCCACAAAGGAATCCATGCTGTGGTGATCAGTCTGCAGACTCAGATACTGAGTGCTCATATGACAAAAATTGTCAGATCTATTACAGAAAAATGCCCACTATGTCTTAAAAATAATTGTTTGAATTCCAAAGGACCTCCCCCAGGGATCACTAAAAGAGGAAACAATCCAGAGGATTATTGGCAAATTGATTTTTCTGAGCTGCCACACCAACAAGGAGACAGGTATCTCCTAGTGTTGGCAGATAGCTTCTGGCCACCCAATAAAAGTTTCTCCTGCTGCACCAACAAGGCCAGGGAGGTCACCAAGGTGCTCCACAAAGAGGTCATACCCAGTTTGCAGTGCCTACAGGGATGTCACCTGATGGGGAACCCCACTTTGTATCTGAAGTGCTTCAGCAGCTTAGTAGGAGTTGGGTATAAACTGGGATGTACACACTCCATGGAGACTGCAGTCCAGTGGAAGGGCTGAGCACATGAATCAAACCCTAAAAAAGACAAATTAGCAAAATATGTCAGGAAACTTTCTTGAAATGGCCACGGATGTTATCACTAGCCTTGTAACAAGTTAGAGTACAGCCCCAAACTAACCTGAAGGTGAGCCCATATGAGTTGATATTTGGGGGTCTGTATTCTATTGCAACCTTCCCTTGGTCCAAGAAACAGACTGGCAATCAGGAAATGGAACAGTAATTAATTTCATTAGGGAAATCCTTGAACGGGCTAAAAAAGTTTATCATTCCCTCAGAACCTGTTGCCCTGGATCCCCAGTTCATTCATTCCAGCCTGGGGATCACATACACATCAGGACCTGGAAATTGGAGCCACTTCAGGAGCATGGAAAGGACCTTACCTGGTTCTGTGGACTACAATATACTTTACTACAAATACTGGAAACCCTTGTAATTCTAGTTGTAATTGTAGTAATTGTTGGGCTTGTTATTGATCATGTTTACAAAACACTCATTTGTGGTCTTGCAAGAATATGTATGATTCTAGATAGAAATTGAATTGAAACTTACCAAATCATCTTGCCGAAGTAGAGAAGGTTCAAAGGGGGGAGTTGGTGCTGTGAGGCTTCACTCAATTTCTCCTGTGCCTGTGAACATTCAGCTGAGAAATAAAGCATGCAAAATCTGCTCTGCCAGCAAGGACAACTGGAAGAGGAGAAGACATCTGGCTCAGGAATGCGGCAATAGCCAAAGCAAGGACTGAGTTTGGGAACCTGGGGAGGTTTTATGGCAATGACCAAATGGTAACATGCATGTAACACATCCAAATTGTAATGTGCAAGCAACACAGCTGTAAAATCGTGTGTGCACACAAAGTTAGCAGTTAGCACCCCTGTAACCTGAATAAATGATGTCCTTCTTAGCTCTAAACTGGTCTTAAGGAGTCTTACTCAACTAGTTTGCAGTGGATCTGGTGACAGCTCAAGCTGAGGTTCCCCTCAGCAGAGTCTCAGCTGCCTCTCATTCATTAGGCCATTTTTCACAGCACAGTAATGCAGAAAGAGCTGAAGCTCTCTGAAGCAATCCTCACACCTGGCCAGAGCTGTTAAAGGACAAAGGAGCTCTCAGGGAGATAGGAGGGTGTTTGGATTAGGGGGGATCATGCCTGCCTGTGAGGAGGGACCCCAACCAAAGGTTTGTGGGCTTTATCCTCTCACAAGCACCATGCAAGTCCTCCTCTTGACTCCTCTGCTCCTGCTGTGTCTCTGGTACCACACCTTCTCTTGCCTCTCTGGTTTCTGGGGTTGAAATAGCTCCTGAGGTATTAAAAGTCTTTTTTTTCTCCCAGCCTGGTGACAGAAGAAGAAGAAGAAGTAGAGATTCCTTGGTTCTGCTTTTCAGGATTGTTTATTTTCTCTTATCTATTCCATTCTTTCTCTGTCCAGTAGGTTGGGTTGTGGCACAGTCCCTGCCCTTGGGGTGGTGTTGGCTTTTTATACTAAAATCTGCGTGTACTTTATTTACAATAATTTCTAATACCTATCACCTATGTTAGACAGTCTGTCTCTACTCTAAACCAATCCAAAATTGCCTCCATCACAGCAGAAGATGGAGGACAAGAAGAAGAAGGAGAGAGACTGGACATGCCCAGATTTCTCCATCTTGCCTCCTGATCCCCCATTCTAAATCCCCAAAATTCTGCTTTTTCACCCTGGGATAAATTCACTATCATTCTATTCAAACCCTTGTGGCTTGTAACTCTTCACACAAAGTTGGGAATTGTTTCCATGGGCTAAAATCAAAGGCACAGGTGTTTGTGACTCCGTGCCGAGATCTCTGAGCCTCCTGCCAGGGTCTGGAGCCCTCCAGGGCAGCCAGAGCAATGTCCTGGGTTCTGGTGATGAAAATGGGGAGTTTGCCCTCAATTCAAGCCCATAAAATGGCATCATAAAGGTTTTCCCCTTCCCTTTAAACTAGAAAATAACAATCCCCCATCAGCTGATACCCCTAAATCAGGAAAAAAACAGACTTTCCTTCCCCTGACCCTCCTCATCCTCACTGACCACACCTGGGGCTGCCCTGGACACTGACTTTTGCAGGAATTTCACTCAATCCCACTCTAATTCTTAATAAACTGAGCACACCTTGCTGCTGTTCATATTACATGTGAAGCTGGCTAATATGAAAAAATGGGGGGATGAGGAAAAGTGGAATTGATAGGGATTGATATGGAGTTGATAGGGCTTGATATGGAATTGATATAGAGGTTTATGTGGAATTGATGCGGGTTTCCATGGAATCTGTAGGGCTTGCTGGTACAGAGAGCGCTGGGATCAGACCTGGGGTATGGTGTGAGTGAAAACCCGGACTGGATTGCCTGGAGTAGGGAATGGGGAAAAACCTGGGCTGGATTTCGCCAGAATATGGAACGGGAATAAAAACCCGGACCGGACTTCACCGGAACACGGAATGGGTGGTGGAGGGGAAACCTGGACAGGATTACGGCTCGATCCCGGAGTGGGTGCGCAAGACGGGGCCTGATCCCCGTACACAGACAGCACCCACAGGGCACAGAGGTACCGAACGGGCGGGGAAAAGCCGCTGCGGGGCGGCTGCACACGGGACCGCCCGTGCCCGCGGAGCAGAGGAAGGTGTGGCGCTCCCGCGCTCCGTAGGCCGGGGGCGGTGCAGCGGGGCCGGGCCGGGCCATGCCGGGCGGGGCGATGGCGGGGCCGGGCGGCGCGGTGCGGGGTCGCTTCGCCGTGGTGGGCGGCGGCATCGCGGGGGTCACCTGCGCCGAGAAGGTAACGGGGCCGGGCTCTCCCTCCCCTTGGCGCTCCCCGGCAGCCGGGAATTGTCCGCAGGGGTGCGGAAAGCTGCCTCAGCCCGGGGAGCCCCGGTGTGCCCGGCCCTCGGCGGCCCGGTGCTGCCGCCTGCCCGGTGAGAGCGGCTGGCGCTGGCTTAGAGAGATGAACCCACGGCAGGGCACGGCCACCGAAACGTCTGCGCTGTCATTGCACAAATGTTCGCGTGTGTTTCAGTAGTTCCGTACTCTGTCCTATACACCCCTAATCCTCGTATCTAAAAATAATTTGAATAATTTTTTGTGTGTCCCTGGAGAAAACACCAGCCAAGCGCAGCCCCAGGGCAGCAGTGCTGTAATAAAAGGATGTTTATCTGTGTACAGATACCTCTCCAGAGGTTCAGAGCTGATAAGGTTGTTTTGAAGCAGTTTATGAAACGCTTTGTAAAGAGAGTGAGTTACTCCTAACTGCAGAGAGCTGGCTCTCTGTGCCCTGGCCCAGAGCTCAGGGATTCGGGATCTCTGCAGGAATTGCTCTAAGGGGCTGTGCTGCAGCCCAGCTGGAGGCTGCTGGGATGTGCTCCTTTTAATTAACACTGCTCAGTTTTTATAGGCTCCATGTTTCAGAACTGTGTACCTCTTCCACCTCTCTGTGAGCCCGAGCTCTAAAAATAAATTAATCTGTCACTTGGTCCCCAGGATTTTGATGGTTTTAAAGCAATAGTAACTGGAGGTAATTTTGCACCTGTAGAATGAAATTATGTGGGTATTAGATGGATGAGGAATATTTTATCTCTTAGGGCTGCAGAGCAGCACACGTGTTTTGGAGGCAGTGTTCTCAAGGTCGCTCTGCTTGGCATCTTCCCCCAACAGCACCACTTGTCTTGGTCTGTGTCACCTTGCTGAGCAAGGCACATTTAAAATGGGAGTTCTTCCCTTTGGCTTGGGGCTTTATAAGTCTTGCATTGCTTAGTAGCACCCTGAAAATGATCCATTTATAAATAGGGTATAAAATATGCAGGAGAAATCAGCATTTCCTCTGTGCAAATGAAACCTATAAGCAATTAGTCATTGCTGAGCAGTAAAAAAAGTGTATCCACCAAGTGGGTGTGTCCAGAGATCCCATGATCGCAGTGTGAGCATTAGATGGCCTTTGGAATATTGTGACAATAGTCCCTTACACTGTGGCTGCAGTTCTTGAAGGTGTATTTATGTGTGATTGAAATAAATGTTGTTTCCAAATCCTCTTCAGCCCTTATCCTTCTGTTATCCTCAAGTAGTGTTTTTTCAATGATTCTACAAAACCAAAGTAATATATTAACATATGATTTTTTTCACCAGTAGTTTTATTGTGTTTAAGTCTGGTGATGACTCTTATTGTGGTTTCTGTTTCTTTACAAGCTGGCTGCAGAATTCCCATCAGAAGACATTTTTTTAGTGACAGCCTCCCCAGTTATCAAAGCTGTAACTAATTTCAAGCAGGTAAGAGAGACTTCATTTTTCTTATAGTGAGACATGTTCCAAGTTTGTTTGTGCAGGTAATTTAGAACCCAGTGGTGAAGAAGCTCATGACTTAGAGCCTGTTTTCATATTTGTGTGATAGCAGTGGTGTCAGTAAGACTGACAGGCTATTTTACAATGATCAGTAATTGTGAATATATTCACACCATTCAGGCAAAGGTTAAGTGAGGTACTTACATGACTGAAGTGTGTTCAGAGTTACTGAAACTTTATTTTATTTAATTTATTTATTTTTTTAGTGAGTGACCTCTTAGAAGCACTAGAATGGTATCATAGTCTTGCTCATGTTTGAATTTGGGGCAGAAACAGCAAAAAAAGGGATAACCTTCTGGGGAATTGCTTTGGGCTTTGTCTACTCCAGCAGCTGCTTATTCAGTGACATCTTTCCTGCTGGTTTGAAAAAGAAAATCAAATGCATGCATGAATTCAGATTTATGGCTAGTAGGGGATGAAGCTGAGTCTGAGAGCTCTCTCTGAAACTAACACCCAAGTACAGAATGCTTTCTGAAAGTGCTGAGTGTCCAGCAAAGACATCTGCACAGTGCAGATGTAAAGTCTGTAATTCACATCACTGGAAATTTACATAGCTGAAGAATAAGGGAAGAGCTAAGCACTATTGGAAGGCAGCAGAATCTGAGATTTGGATATGAGCGTCTTAATTTCTCTCTGAATTGCCAGCATGGTGTGGCTTCTGGTTCCTAGCTGTGTTCCAAACTCAAACACTCAATAAAGTAGCAGGCCTGGATGTTTCCATGCAGCCACTCTTTTGGAAAAAGCCACAAAATTGTCATCACTTATTTGAATGTTTTTCAAGCTTTGTCTTGCCTCTTTGGGGTTTTTATTTTGTTTGTGTTTGTTTTCTATTTGATGTCCATTTCCCCTGAGGTCTCTGAAATATCAGGTAGTGGTTCTGGATGAGTTATTTTATCAAAGTTAGAGAAAAACCAGGATTTTAACACTACATCACATAAATGAAAAAGCAGTGTTAACAACTTCTTTATGGAATAAAACATTGTACCAGTTAGAGCAACTGCCAGGGTTTTCTTTTCCATTTTTGCTTAATCTCTGTCTTTAGGATTAACATGTAGTACTTGGACTCTTCAACCAGGAGCAGGCACGAAAAGATTCTGTATGGAAAAAGAAACCTTTAAGAGTTACATGGTAACCCATTTTCAGACAATATGGGCTTTATGTTGTCACTTTTTTACCATAAATGGACACAGCACCTTCTGTCAAAAGCTTTAAAAGAAGAGATGGGTAAATGATCCATATTTTTAAATACTTCTCTTTCTCCTACAGGTCTCCAAAACACTTGAGGAATTTGATGTTGAAGAGCAGCCAAGTTCCCTATTAGAAAAACGATATCCCAATATTAGAGTTATACAGTCTGGAGTGAAACAGTTGAAAAGTGATGAACATGTAAGCTAAGGTTTTCTTTTTTATTTGTTTTTTTCAAATTATGTATATTAAAAATAATTTAAGAAGTAGCTGAATGTTTTGGGTGAGAAATTTTGTTCAAGAACATTTTGGTTACTGAATTGGTAAGTTACCAAAATTACAAGAAAATATTTCCTAATTCTAATTTCACTTACTGCTTAAACTGTTTTTCTAGTAGAAATAGATACAGAGGACAAAATAAATCTTGAAAGAGCCAACATTTCCACCTTTTCTTCCTTCTGTTTAGCAGGAAATACGTTGCAAATATGAGCAATGGGCAGCATGTACACAGCCTTGTTAGCTCTGTGCCAACATGTTATTTTCACTCCAGCAAGTATGAGAAACTCACATTCACATCCCAAACTCGTTTTGCTCACTTCTAAAGTTTGGAGATATAATTCCAGGTGGATTCTGTTCACATTCTGAATACAGTGGTTTTCTTATATCATTACTAGGATGGTGTTTTAATATTGGTCTTGGTGGACATAAATAATTAATCTATGTGGATTTGGAGGCTCTTTTGCCCAAAATCACTTTAAGCTATGCAGCTTCTAGTTTGTAGAACAACAAATAATGCCATAAAATGTTAAAATGTAAGATCTTCTTTCTCAGAATGACATAGCTTGTTGAGTGCCTCCCCTTTTTCTCCAGCAAAGAACAGATTTGCAGTATTTCTGATCTGTGTCCTATCCTGTGCCTGGTTAACTCAGAGCTACTGCTGTTGAAATGTTTGAATGAGATTCTCGATTGCTGATGTCCAGCAGTGCATGGTTCTGTTCCTGGGGCCTGAGGGACATTTGTCACATGGAAAACACAGAACTCTTTTGGCACAGCCAGTGAGTACCAAGTGCCACCAAGTGGTTGATCTTGCTTCGAGTGCACTGGTGCACTTCCCACTTTATTGGTCACTTATTTGTGGTGAGTGTGATGGCAGTAAATGACACACAGTGAGGAAGAGGATGAAGCCTTGTTCCTTCAGAAGCCCCTTACAGCTTTTCATATCTGCAAATTACTGTGACATTAAGGAAAGATGTCTCTTAGATGTTTTCATTTTTGATTTTTCTTTTCTCTTCATTGTTAACAGAAAATTTACACTGAAGATGGGAAAGAATACATCTATGAAAAGCTTTGTCTGTGTGCTGGAGCCAAACCAAAATTAATTGTCGAAGGGAACCCATATGTGTTAGGAATCCGGGACACTGACAGTGCACAGGTAAATGTGTTTGGGACTTCAAAATGTGCAATGTACTCCTGCATCTGGTGCAAAATACCATAATTCTTGTGGAGTGAAATGGAGAAACACAAAATAATGTCTGTTATTATATATTCTTAACTAGGAACATTTTCACTAGCAGGAAAACAGCCTTATAATGCCACTGAATTAATTAGCCACCGATTTGTTAAGTTTATAGATAGCTCGTACATTATTTCTAACATGATAATACGGAATAAACAATATTTTTTCACCCTTCAGGCAGAATCCAATTGGAAAATAGAAAGAAATTTCCTTGGGAAGGTGTGTGTGGTTCCTGGTACAAAGGGCTGCTTCATGCAGTGGAAAGCTGTTGAAGGAATGACTTTTTATTCTCTTGCAGTTCTACTGTAGCTTCTCCTCTTTGTACAGAAAAGAGTTAGAAATAGTCAAAGATGTGGAAAAGTTTTCACCTGAGAAATGACTTAATAGACTAAAAATCAAGCTTGGAAGGCAAAGATGAAGTTTCCCTGCTACAGGTCTTCAGAATTAGAAGAGGCAGGGTGAGCCCTGCTAACATGGAGCTGCCATTCATCAAATGAAGCTGGACCTTGAGGATAAAAAAAGGAGTTACATTTTCAAAGAGTCAGAAGTGAAACTGAAATTGTAGTTTGTTACAACAGCTTCTCTCAGAGGTCTCAGCCTAGCTGGATGTGTATCAATAATCTGAGAAAATCCAGACTAAGAGCAAGAAAATACTGAGAAGGATATAGTCGATCAGTGGGAGGGAACATGCTCTAACTGACATTCTTCCTTTCTTAATGCAGGCTTTTCAGAAGAATTTGGCTCAAGCTGAGAGAATAGTGGTGGTAGGAAACGGTGGGATTGCCCTTGAATTAGTGTAAGTGAACAAAACATACATAATCAAAGAAAATCTTTAACAATGCAATGCTAAATCAGTGTACATGAGTTTGGGAGAAGGTTGACTTATAAAATTTTCTCTTAGAGCATTTAGTAGCAAAACTGATTACAGGGTTGTTTTTTTTTTATTTTTGCAACATAGTGGTTTTTACTGACCCATAAAATCAGAAAAACTCCAGAAGAAGCTTTATTGACACATAGATATCAGGAATATTCAGTTCATGTTCCACATACTGCAAGCAAGATCCAAATGCTTGTTTTTAATAGTGGCAGTCTGGCAGAAATGCACTTGTTTTTCATTACGGGAAGCAGGAAATACTAATTATTAGTATTATAAATTGGATCTGCCCCCTACCCCAGTTCAGTCAGGGTTGTGTTGGTGAGGAAGTATGACTTGTCAACTTGAGGAGATATTTTTAATGGGTTCCTTATGTAAGTATTTAGAAGTTGATTTGATAGGTTGGAAAATCTTGGATCCCCTGGTTCTGGCTTCTGGAAGGAAACTTGCCACACTTCTGCTTGTGTTGCTAAAAGATCCTTTTCAGGCAGTCTGTCACTTTATCCCTTGCTGAAATGCCCACAGGTATGAAGTTCAAGGCTGTGAAGTAATCTGGGCTATCAAAGACAAAGCCATTGGGAACACTTTCTTTGATGCAGGAGCAGCTGAATTCCTCCTTCCCAAGCTCACTGCTGAAAGCCAAGAGAGTCCCATCGAGTGTAAAAGAACCAAGTACACAGTGGAAGGTATGGGGTTCAGCTTCCTGACACTGCAGCAGCAGCATTTCATATTAAAGGTAGTCTTAAAATCAGTCAGTGTAACAGCTTGGAGTAAGGCTTACTGTTATCATTCATGACATTTCCTTCTTCAAAAACTGAGAGTAAAAATGCAACATAAAAACCCATCCCACATTTATGTAGACAGAATGTAATACAGCTTCTTGTGAGCTGTTAAAAAGTGCTTACATTTGTGCCAAATTTACATTAATTCCCTGTATTCCTTCTGCTGAAGAACTTGTTCTATTTGTTGTAATGTTTTGATGTGAACTCACCATTCTATAGGGAGGAACTGTCACATAATGAGATATTGGAGGGGCAGGTGAAACCACACAGAACATTATTACAGGTGGAGATAAAGTGCAGTCTCAGAAACAACAATTAGCACTGCATGAACAAACATCACACAAACATATGTAGGGCCAAAGTCAGGACAAAAAGAAGAGCATGGTTCTAGACATCAGGCAGGAAGAAGAAGGATATTACCCCAGGTGGTATTTTTCTATTATTTTCTGTTGGTATTTCTGGTATTTTCTGTTGAGAATCCTTGTTCTGAATTCTGAGGACAAGGAGGGAAGCACACTAAATTTGATATATTCCATGTCTTTGCTTCAGGAAGTGAGGAGAAAGGAGGACCTCCAGGAGCATCTGACAAGCTGGGCAGTGCCTTGGGCCCTGACTGGCACGAGGGTTTACACCTTAAAGGCACTAAGGAGGTATGGGCATAACCTTGCTGCCAGATTTATTTGGGTGTTGTGGCCATGAGCACAGGGAAGAGTTCCATGTTTGCAATAAAGCAAAAATCCTCACATTTTTTTTTTTTTTCATTTATGAATTCCTGAGCTGTTAGGTGTTTGCATCTGTTTTGCATTTATAAAATGACCTGTCAAGAGTGATTAGTCAAAGAGCAGCTAAAGGATGTTTAGGATATTTAGCAGCTTAATCAGTGGTGGTTTGGCTGTTGAAGGCTGTGGAAATGTATTTGTGTAGTGGAGAATAAAAAAAGGCCCAAATTCACCAAACAATTTAGAGAAACAGGTAACTTCCCAACTTCTGGCTTGAGCTCAGAATATGGTTCAAATGTTGGTTGATGGTACAGAGTATTTTTTCTTTTTACTGTGTTTAGAATATAAACTTTATTATTGTTACCAAAAGTTAATGAACGATAGAAAAATAAAGGACTTGCAATCCTGAAAGACAGAAAAATGAGTTTACTTTATTCTGTTCTGATAAGGTTTGAACTCCCTTCCTGCAAGCTTAGGGGAACCTGAATATGTTTTCTGGCATGCCAGAAAAATCTAATTGTGGTGAACTTTAAAGGAACATGAGCTACCTGCTGAAAAAGCAGCTAAATTGCCACTGGCTATGGTTAGAGCTGTGCCAAAAGGAGGAAAGTGTGGGAATCCAGGTAGTGGGCTGGGATATGTGGTGGGTGGTTTCCCACTTCAGTAATATCAATTTAGGTGAAGATGTCCTTGCTATTATCAATCTTGTGATCACTAATCATTATGTTTATAATTCTGTCTCTTTGTTTTAGTTTTCTCACAAAGTACATATTGAAATACTGTGTGAAGTAAAGAAAATACTCTTACAGCAAGAATTTATCCAACTGCAGCAGACTTCCTTGACTTTTCCTAAAGGAGAGAAAAATGTAGAAGCAGATGAGGGTGAGTGCCAGTTCTGGTGAGACCTTGAAGGTAAATCTGTGCTGGAGCATGTTTGCTGTTTGAAAAATAAATCTTTTTTTCTCTATAATTTGAGGTCTAGCAGTTTACAGTAATCAAATTTATGGGCTGCAATTAAATTATAAAGTCTTGTGGGTCAGACACTTTTTTCCACAAAGTAACCAAAATCATGTGTGCAGAATATTCCATCCTAACACAATCCATTAAATATTTTAATAGTTAAAACATGAGGGAAAAAACCACGAACATTTTGTATCAAACTGAAGTAAACCTTCCAAGTAGAGGAAAATATCCCTTTTTAAAAAATGAATAATTATGCCTATAATTTCCACCTAATTAAAATGAATATTTTTAATACTATTTTAGTAATCAGTTACTTTCAGCACAAGTCAAGTCTGTGCTGTTCTTTTTGCTTTTGAGGCACTTCTGTGCATCTGTAAATTTCTACATAAAAGAATATTTGGCAATTGCATACTTGAGAGAACATCCCACAGGACACGGAGGGCTTTAATTTAGGAAAATTCTGAAGGAAGTTATTGGTAGGAGTTGAACTGAGCTCCAAAATAGTTTTTTTCTCTAGTTCTGAGCAATGGTAAGAAAAGTAACAGGTAATCTCTGATAGTTTTTTCCTTTTTATTTTCAATTTTAACCTTTCTTTACCTATTCAGTTACCTCAAAGGTTTTATGGTTTTATTTTCATTCATATTTTATCATAAGACATAATTAATAAAATAACTTCTGTTGGTTACATTCTCAGGGCAAAATTTTCTCCTTTTTCAGTGCTGTGGCCTGTATATGTGGAATTAACTAATGGAAAAATTTATGGATGCAATTTCATTGTCAGTGCAACTGGAGTTGTGCCAAATGTTGAACCATTTCTTGATGGCAATAATGTAAGTATACTGATTTCAAGTAAGGTTAAAGAAACCTTTTCAGCTGGTTTATACTTCTGTTCTGACATGGATTGCTAAAGATTTAAATACTGTGCACCATCTCAAAATAAGGCAGGGTATGTTGATACTGAGATATCCAACATGATACAAGTGTATTTGATTTGTGGACTTGGTTTATTATGTTGCTCCTCAGGTGTTTATATATAGTACATAGGCAGTGTTAAGCCTAACCAAAGAGTGAAAATCATCTGTATAATTGGCTAATGTGGCAGAAATTTAGAATAATTTTCATGTTGGTTCTGTACCATAGTCTTACCTTATTAATCTTGACATTTGCTCCTGGAAAGGAAGCAACTATTTCCAGTATTTTCCATCTGGGACACTGAGCTGTCACAGTGCTCATGTTCATTGAGGGAAGTCAGCACCCAAATGTGGATGGTGATTCTGGAGTTCATAACTGCCATATGCATTTCCATACCTCAGGATCATTTTGTTTCTGTGTTCAGTGCCTGCTCAGCAACAACTAAAACATCCCTGGGTTATTAACACTGATCACAAATCCAACAAATAGCCCCATACAAGCTACTACTAAAAAATGATCCCAAACAAAACCAGGATGTTGTGGTATTTGGGTTAAGTGGTGCCATCTGATGATGAGGTAAAAGGCTGTGCTCTGGTTAAAGAAGGAAGTGCTGAAAACATAGATCTGATGTTGAGCCATGACGTATTTCCATGCCTATGCTATAAGCTTAGATCAGGAATTAAGTTTTTGCAATGGTATTTTCTTGCCTTGGCAAAAATACAAAGTGATCTCTTAAGACTGGGTATTCCTGTAACAAACACACAGTGTGATTTGGAATTTGGCAAGCTCTGTGACTTCCCTGCCTAGGTATCAGTAATAGTCCTTTAAAACCTGTGCTGTGCTCTAGAAATAGTAATAACAGTAATGCTTTGTACTTTCCATGGAGCTCTTGCCACTCAGCACAGTCTCATGGTAAATAATAAAGGAGCAGCTGATTGTTAAGGGGGAGGGAGTTGGGTGCCTGGTTCTGTTGCTGATGTGTGAACCCCTTCAGTTTGCTGTGGGAGAGGATGGAGGACTGAAGGTGGACAAGCACATGCACACGTCTCTGCCAGATGTGTTTGCAGCTGGAGATATCTGCACAGCAGCCTGGGAGCCCAGCCCTGTGTGGCACCAGGTATGTCCTGGCACAGGAGTTACACACCAGTGCTCACACCAAGGAGGGACAGGTTAACAGTGGATTGCCTCTGACAGATTTTCTGAAAAACTCCTTCGCTAGGATTTTTCTCCTAAGAAGCCTCAGAAAAAAAATATAAACAATAACTATCTGAGGGCTGTGGAATGTGGTCTGGAGATGCTTTACCAACAGGTGCATCTTTGATTGGTTGCATGTGAATTGTTTTTAATTAATGGCCAATGGCAGCCATCTGTGTCAGACACCAAGTCTGTCACGAGATTTTATTATTCATTCCTTTCTAGCTTTCTGATGTCTCCTTTCTTCTATTCTGTAGTATAGTTTCAGTATATCATTTTCTTTTAATACAATATATATCATAAAATAGTAAATCAGCGTTCTGAAACATGGAGTCAAGATTCTCATGTCTTCCCTCATCCTGGGGACCCTCAAACACCACCACATTTGCTGACCCTGAGTGAGTGACACCCCACAGTGGATAATCCTGGGGGTTTGGTGGCTGAGTTCTGTGGAGGTGGCTGGCAATGAGCTGGCCAGCCCCTCTGAGTATGAAGAGCAGTGAGTGTGCTCTGAGTACTCACTGCAGAGAGTGTGCCCGTGGCACAGGGATGGCCTCGTCACTTCAGTCTTCCCGACTGTCTCTTGCAGATGAGGCTGTGGACCCAGGCTCGGCAGATGGGATGGTATGCAGCAAAGTGCATGGCAGCAGAAGCTTTAGGGGAGTCTATTGATATGGATTTCAGCTTTGAACTATTTGCTCACATTACCAAATTTTTCAATTACAAGGTCAGTACAGTCTGATAGTTGGTAAACCACTGAGTAACACATACTGCTTGCTTATATTCACTTGCTGACAGTGAGCAGGTGCATTAATATTGAGGAAGCAGGTTTCTTTCTGTAGTAATTAATCCTAGCTTAGATTTTCTCAATTTGTGCTAATATATATGGTATTTCATGGGGAAGATTTTTCAGTTCATTGTGTGTATTTGTGCTAATGTGTGTGATATTTCAAGGGGAAGATTTTTGAGCCCATTGTGTGTTTGCGAGCCAGTGATGGGGGAGGGACCCTAGGGATGAATATTTCCCTGTTTGCATCACTTTTGAGGCCGAGAACTGTTAGCAGCAGAAATGCTAAGAGCCAATGCAGTGTTGTTATGAGAGCTTTTCCCTTCTCCTTCTCCTAGGTGGTGGTTTTGGGGAAGTACAACGCTCAGGGCCTGGGCTCAGAGCACGAGCTGATGCTGAGGTGTACCAAGGGCCACGAGTACGTCAAAGTGGTGATGCAGAACGGCCGAATGATGGGAGCTGTGCTCATCGGTGAAACGGACTTGGAAGAAACCTTTGAAAACTTAATTTTAAATCAAATGGATCTTTCAGCCTATGGTGAAGATCTCCTAAATCCAGATATTGACATAGAAGATTATTTTGATTGAACAATGCCCCATTCCCATTTTGTATGAAGCTTTGAGAGACAGTCATACATCTTAGAAAACTGTTTTCTCAGGACTGAGGATAAATGCAATCCTCAATTAAGATTTTGGGTTGATCTTGCTAAAATACTGACTGGTTACTGCCACAGGTACCAGCTAATGGTGCAATCTCTGTTGTGCTGGCTCATATGAACAGAGAACAGTTTCAGGGCACAGGCTGCTCAGAGCTCTTGCTACCTGGAATGCAGGTTGCAAATACATGGCTTTACTCCATTTTTTTTCCTTTTTCTTTTCCCCCATAAGTTTACTTCTGAAATAAATGTATTTTCTACTCAGTTAAGTACAGAACACAGGCTTTGCATAATGAAAGCCAGGATGGTATGTCAGTTGAGAGCAGCCTTTGAGCTGTTTGTCCCTTCAGCTGCCCAGGTGTTGGGGTGGAGCTGCACTGTACTGGATAGTGCCAGCCCTGGACAGCAGTTGTTTCATCCTGGCTTTTGATTTTATTCTACAGTTGCTGCCTGAGAGTTCCTATTTATTTTGGATCAAATTTGGGACAATTTATTGTACTCAATACAAAGCTGGCAGTACATATTGAGACTTGTCCCAGACAAATCACTTAATTTTTTTTAGGAGAATGACTGTTTTTAACTAAATTTTCAATTTTTGGTGAAGGTCTCAGCTAAAGGATGGGTGAAGGACTATAGATTTTTTTCTCTGTCACAATTTTACCAGAAAAATAAAGATGAAGAGCATGTTGTTAATGATATTATTTTTATATTTGTTATAAATGTAAGGGAGAAGAACTAAAGTGCAACCACCCAGAACTTGCATTTATTCATGAAACTGAACATGCCTTTCTGATCTTTGACTGTTAAGATGTTAAAAGTAAGAAAACAAAATTGAATCTAGCAGTCAGCATATGTGCCTGAGAATGCTTGCAGTAGCTGTTGAGTGTTGCCTAGGCTGGCAGGTTGTCTTGTTTGTAAACTTCAATTGAGGTACTTCTGCCAAGCACAGAAGTCATAAATTCCTAGTTGAATAACAACCCAGAGAAGTCCAATTTGAAGAGCAACAGCCATATTTCAAAAGAATAAATACACATAATCACTCATAAATACATACAGTATTTCACTGCCACGTGCCACAGTGGGTGTAGGGACACATGTCCCGACTCAGAACTGCAGAGGTGGCAGTGCCCACGTGGGCTGGAGCAGCCTGCCCTGGCACAGCAGCAGCTCTGAGCCAGCCAGGGCTCCAGGGGAAGGGTGCTGGAGCATCCCTGTCTCCAGCTGTCTGATGTCACTCCCTGGGGCTGGTGACAGCAGTGCCCTGGCTGCAGTGGGGTCAGTGGTGAAGAGGGGAGTCACCTGCACAGCAGGCAGGAGAACAGGAGGGGACAGGGTCTTCATGCTGAGCTAAGACCACCAAGTCCTGTGCTGCAAAGGAGAGAAACCTCAAGAGGACTCTCAGGGGAGCAGTGGGTGGAGTCTCCCACAGGAAGGAAGCCTGGAAATCTCTGCACCTCTATCAGTCCTTTCCAGACTGCATGAACCTGCCACAGTGTTACTATATACTACACTTGCAAAAGAGTTAAAAAGGCCACATGGTCATTATAGAGATTTTGTAATTGTTGCTGTATCCTAAGATATGCGCCAATTATTTTGACAAGAAACATGCTTTCCTCTTCTATTAGCCTTCTAGATTTGACACTTTTTAAAGATATTTGTTCCCTGTTCAGTGTTTATTAAATAAAAATAAAAACACCAATACTAAAGTACAAACTGAACTTACACAGTGCACTGTCCATGGAGCAGCAACCATGATTAGATCCTAAATGCAGTCTGTGACACTCAGTCAATAACTACTGGTTGGTCATGTGCACCTGCCTGAAGCTGAGGCTTCTTTGCTTTTAAGTTAGGACCACAGCTGGGCCCTTTATGTTCCTGTGATTGATTCACCCCTGAATCTTGGACAGTCTTTCATCCAGCCTGGGCATTTTCTCTGCTTCCTTTTGAAGACTGAGATGGTTTGGCCTGTAAGATTAAAGAGTTCAGTGAAAATTCTAACATTGCTTTCCTTTTCCATGTTCCCACGCAAGAGAGAAGATATTTATGAGGTTATGATATTTATGATGTACATGCGTACACATACACACACATATATATGCATATATACATGTGCTCCATCACATTCTAAACACTTATGGATGTTGAATCTTGAGATTCTGTGGTAGGAGACTGGCAAATGCCTACAATTAGAATATTATTGATATTCTCACATTTCACTGACCATAAAAGCTAATACCAATATTTTTAACGCCTTTAAAAATGAAATAATAGTGTCAAAATATTGCCAGAAACTTATCAAAATGAAAAGGGTGTGTTAGGTTAAGCATAGAGACTAGACTGGGTTTTTTCTGCATTTTTGCTTTTGACATTGTTTGGAAAGTGTGTTGTTTGCACTAGTAACTGAAATGCAATTTGAGGAGGATAGAATTACTACAAAACATGTTTTGAGCAGATACCAAATGATTAAATGAAGCTCTAATGGAGAAGATACCTATATGGCAAATCAGAACAGATGTAAATACCTTGGAAACACTTTTGCTGCTTGTTATCCCCTCTATGGTGATGACATGTCCCTCGTTTTTCAGCAGCCAGGCTTTGGGTCCCACCCTCAGGTAGGATATTGTAGCAAAGGCTGTGAAGCTGAAATCGTCCCTGCAGCAATGAAATCACTGTTACAGGGGAAGGCCAGAATATGCAGGGGAAAAAAAATCATAGAATCATTAAGGTTAGAGAAGACGTCCAAGACATCAAGTCCAACCATCAACCCAGCACTGCCGCTAAACCATGTCCTCAGGTGCCACATCTGCATGTTGTATGAACAGACCCTGGAATGGTGACTCCACCACTTCCCTTCTCAACAACTCTTTCCCTAAGGACAGGGACGCATTAACCCTTCTGATAGGTGTTGCAGAGAGCAGATTCATTCTGCTTCATCTATTCAAGTGGACAGGTGACTTAGAGCTGCTCTGATCAACACTTAACATAATTCAGTTCATGGACCTCGACATACACAAAAACAGATGCACACTTGTCACTTGAAACACATGGGGGGAAATGAGGAAAAAAAGATGTAATAAGTCATCTGCTAAACCTCTTAGTAATATTAAAAAAGCTGCATGGAGCGATACAAAGAAAAATGAAGTCAAAATAAAGGGACTGGATATTTGTAGGTATTCCTGAACTTGACAATTATAGGAGAAGACAAAACACATAGCACATGGACAGCTTACAGAGGCAGCACTGGTGTTAGTTCCACTGTGCTTTCTTAAAATTTCTGAGTCCCACCTTCCACATCAGCCAGTGTTTCCTGACTTAGACATCGTGTGCACAACCTCATTTGCTTTCCTTATCCATGGAATGTGAATGAGAGCTGTATGAACTTCAGACTTCTCCAAAATGAATCCTGCTGCAGATTTAAACATTCTACCTGAATACAGAAGACCCCAGGTTTTTTAAATTGGTGAAATGATGCAGCATTTCAACTATTCCTCCAACATTTGAAAAGGAAATATAGCAATACTTGAAGGGTTTTTAGGAATACATTAAATGTATCTGAAATGAAAAGAAGACTACAGAATGTAACCATTAATTTTATACCAAAGTAACAAGAGAGCAAGGTAAAATGACTACTAAATATTAAAAAACCAAAACAAAGAAAACAAAATAGTTATCTTACATACTTCAGATACTGCTGCAGCAGTAAATGAGATTAACAAGACCAAAAAAACCCAAAACACTGCAAAATGTTTTTGGGGGTGGAGTTTGGCCGTGACAGGTATTTAATGCTGGTAAATATTGATCAATCCTTAAAATTCCCTGCTCCAGACTCCCCATCCTACTTGTATTTCTGAAATTCATACAGTGATTAAACATCATCTAGAGACAATCTGAGCAGATCACACATCCCAGGTGCTGTACAAAATAAAAAAAATAAAATTGTATATCAAATCTGTATCATGTTATTCTGGTAAGCCACAGATTTGATAAAAAATCAAGTATTTAAAAAAATGCACCAGTGGAGGTCTAGATAGGCATTTATTCTTTGTTACATGCAGTAGAGGCCTGGTCATGAATGCCCAGGTGGCTACTAATCTGTTGTACTATTTTGGAAATGAAATGTGATCCTCTATCTGAGGATATTGTGGCTGGAACTCAGAATTGTGGCATTATTTCTTGTAATAATACTCTGGTCACTTCTCGAGCTTTGCCAGTTCTGGTGGGGAATGCTTCTGGCCAGCTTGGAAATGTATTTGTCAATACCAATAAGTACACATACCCCCCTTTCCTTGGGAGCTCTGAAAAGTCAATTTGCCACTGCTGTCCAGGCCCATGGTCTCTCCCAGTCTGACCAAGTTTCAGCCTTGGGGGTGTTTTTGGGGTTAGTCTGGAGGCAAGGATCACACTGTTGGTTTACCTGAGTAATAGTGGCATATAAATTCCTGGCAACGATTCTTTCAATTAGATATGTGTTCTAGAAAGCCTCTGGAAATTTCTACTTAAAAGTCAACACTTCATTTTGATGCACTCTGTAACACTGGCAGCCTTGGTCATTCTGGCAAAGGAGCCACACTTTATAAAAGCTTTTAAGCAGTTAGACTCCAGTGTGTTTTCTAGTGCTCTTCCTTCACTAGTGACCATTAGTGACCAAAAATGGGAAGGGATTACCAGCTCCCTCTCAATGGTAGCCCACCCCTTGTGGTAGCATGTCTCTTTTGATTAGTATTATTATATTCTGGCTCACTTTCGAGGGAAATCTGTCCATAATTACCTGACCTTTTGCTGCTTTCTTTGCCTCTCCATCCGTCAGCTCATTTAATGCAAACATTTTCTGGCTGGCTTGGTGGATAGGGAGGCAGAAGAAGGCATCTTTCAGGTTTAAAACATCTAACTAGGTTAGCTCAGCTGTTAAACAAGTTAGTAAAGTATATGGATTTGCTACCACAGGGTATAAATTCTTTGTTATCTTATTGACAGCCCTCAATCCAGTACTATCAATTATTGGGCTGATTTCTTTCCTATCTTCTTTTGAGGGGGTACTGCTTAATTCTCACTGGTTGTGTTCGTTTCTTAAGCTTGATTACCATAGGGGGACATTTTTCACCCTCCCTGGTACAGCAGAGGCCCATACCCCCAAAAATACTTATTTACTTATTCTAACATCTATTTACGAATGTCCTTCTTAATTTCAATGGCTGTTAATGTTAAGTCTAACATTTTTATATCATTTGCCTCCAGTAGTTTTGAAAAATGTTTAGCCTGGAAGATACAATAGACACATGATTTCCTGTCTCGGGAAGTGTCACCCTTAAGGCTTACATATCCCAGGATCATAAAGGTGTCAATGTATATAAGAATATTTCAGTTCAGACATCAAATCTGAGGAGATCGGCGCCATGCCCATGTACTTTTAATTATCTCCCCTTTATCTTGAGCAGTGTCTTACATTTTTTTTTCATTTTATCCTGAGCAAAGAAATCATATATTAGATTGATCTAAAGGAGTTATAGTGATGTTTTTATAGACAGGTTCCTACTGACTATTACTTGTTTCCTGAAACCACTGACCTGTGCAGGTGAAAATACAAAGTGTGCAAATGATGCATGTTGATGGGAGGATAGAGGACACTGAGCATTGCCACCTGTGATTCCATAACTCTCAGAACCTCTGGAGAGCCTGAAGCAGTGCCTGAGTGACAGACCCAGATCCTCCTGGTAGAGAGGCCCAGAAATGCTCTGTTCTTCTTCCCCATATAATTCTCCTGTAATTCTTTATGGGAAATCTTTTCACAGAATTCTGTGTTATATCCTTGGGCAGAGAATGCTCTGTAACTTCCTGTAGGGGGATACCGTGTGGGTAAATGAAGGTGGTATAGAATGTAATCTTAACCCCTAAAGCGTTGCAGCTGAACCAATTACTGAAGATTAGGAGCAGGCCTGATGTTAACAGGCCACAGCTGTAGCCAGTAAGAACAGTGTTATAAAAGAGTGGGTTGGTGGGCTCTGGAGT